TAACCCTAACCCTAACCCTAACCCTAACCCTAACCCTAACCCTAACCCTAACCCTAACCCTAACCCTAACCTAACCCTAACCCTAACCCTAACCCTAATGCTAATCCTAACCATAACCATAACCATAACACTGACCACAAACCTCTAACCCCTAACCCCTAAACCCTAACCCCAAACATCTAACCCCTAATATGTAACTCCTAACCCGTAACAACTAACCCCTAATCTCTAACCCCTAATCCCTAACCCCTAACCACTAACCCCTAATCTCTAACCCCTAATCCCTAACCCCTAACCACTAACCCCTAATCTCTAACCCCTAACCCCTAACCCCTAACCCCTAACCCAAAACCACTTACCCAAAACCACTTGTCCCTAAACTCTATAGCCTAAACCTTAACCCTTACCCCTTCCACGAACCCAATACCCCTAACCCAAAACCCCTTATCCCTAAACCCCTACCCCCCCTCCTCCTTTTTCCTACATCTATCTCCTCTCCTTCTGTCTTTCTCTCTCACTCTATCTCATGCATTGTTGCGTGTGTGCATTATTGTTATTATCTTTATTATGGTTACTATCGTTCCTATTGTTACTAGTGTCCATAGTTACCATTATTATCTTTATTGCTGTTAGTAGTAGTAGTAGTAGTAGTAGTAGTAGTAGTAGTAGTAGTAGTAGTAGTAGTAGTAGTAGTAGTAGTAGTAGTAGTAGTAGTCTGTTGTCGTTGTTGTTGTTTTTGTTGTTGTTGTTGTTGTTGTTGTTATTATTATTATGTTTTAGTATTACTATAAAAATGTATTCACAAACCAATCATATGACCTAATGCAGTTGCGAGCGCCGTAAAACCCCATACTAAACTAAAACAAAGCCACAGGTGTCATTCCAGCACGTTTAATTGGACCATAATTTATGCACCAAGGGAAACAACCACAATTATGTATACATTCAAACAAACTTCACATAATTGTTAGCGTTATCTCCCTCTACAGTTCTTGATTGAAAAATCCTCGGCGGTAAAATTAAAAATAATAAAATGTCATGATCGGGGCTGTTCAAATAAAATCTCACGACTTTTTTGTGGCTTTTTGC